CTATCTATCTATCTATCTATCTATCTATCTATCTATCTATCTATCTACCTACCTACCTACCTACCTACCTACCTACCTACCTACCTACCTACTTATCCATTAGGCTACCATTCAGAGGTAGTCTTCTACTTGTAGAAGACTTCATTTAGTGACAATTCAGAGTTACAATGGCACTGAAAGAAGTGATTTACAACTGGTCCTCAGGCTTATAACCATCACAGCATCCTCACAGTCACATGATCAAAATGCAGATGGTTGGCAACTGGCATGAATATATGACTGTTGCAGTGTCCTTGGATCAAGTGATCTGCATTTGTGACTTTCCCAGCTGGCTTCCTACAAACAATGTCAATGGGAGAAGGCAGATTTTGTGATGTATACTTTATAAACTATACAGCGTATATGTGTATTTGTTTACTGTAGATGTATTATAAATCGCAGTGCGGACATAATAAATGCATCGATACATTTCATTTTTAGAGCAAATTAAATATGGCTTAAAGATTTATCAGTTTCAGCTCCTTTGGCTTGTTAATACAGCTTTATAGCTATCTATCAGTCTTCCACAAGCTGTTTGCCCTTCAAACAGTGATGGGAAAGTAAAGACCCCCATGAGAAAAAGTCTGATTGAATGAAACAGCCCATTTGCTATAATTTCAGTTGTAAACTTCCAAGGTAGAAATAATACGTAATGTACCACCTATATCCCAAGAGGCCTATAGAGATTCTCAGTCATCCAGGTCATGGTTGTCCCAAAGGTGCTTTTTCAGGAGGCAACTGGACTTTCTTCTTTTTTCTTTTGAAGATGTTTCAAAAGAAATCTGAGAATCTCTATAGACTTTTTAGCTATACAATTTGGGATGAACACCCTTCGAATAAGAGGAATAGGGAGTAAGAATGGATTTCCAGGAGAAAAAAATTGCAGACTACAGGAACCAGAAGCACCACTCAGGTGACCCTGAGGACACAGATAAACCTCCAAGTGTCCTCAACGACCCTCTAAAAGGATGCAAATGACCAGCTGTCTGCAAAGAATATCAATCCTTCCATTCCCCCACTGTCCTATCCGAGCTGAAGAAGCTTCTTGGATGAGAAGCGAAATGTCTTCAAAAGAAAAAACAAGAAAGTCCAGTTGCCTCCTGGAAAAAGCACCTTTGGGTATATCCCAGGAGCTAATAATCATCAATTTGAAGACTTTCCAAATTATTCCTTCAAAGACCAGTGAAGCCGCATTCCCATTCCATACTAGAGCTGAACAAAACATAAATAGCTCAAAAAGCATAATATGTATCATAAGTTTGTGTCAGGCGGGAAGAATCAGGGTTGTGCATTAAGTTCCAGTTAAGTTGATGTATTACTCATGCTTATACACAGGAATCTAGTTAACTAACAATCACCACTAAACTGGTGCCAGATTAAGAGTCAACAGAATTCAAGTGGACTTGGATCATGTATGGGAATGTAATGATTCCAGGCTGGTTCCTCTCTTGACTCCACCCTCAGGCTCTGTCCCTCCTTCTCCTACTGTTTATGATGCAGGAATCAGCAATTAAGAAAATCCCAGATGATGATCATGCAAAAACTGGTTTGTCCAAAGGGATCTTCCTTTATAAAACATTAATTTTAACACTATATGGTTAATATGTTTAAGTATTATTTTCTTAGTCAGCAATTCTAACTAATTCTGAAGACTTTATGCCTAATTCTACTCCGATTCCAGTGCAGCATGATATACTAATATCTCACAAATTCCACTTTTCTTAATGATTTTGATGAAGCTTGAAGAGATAGATCAAAAATAACCCTGGGGGCATCAGTAAACTGCCTGCCGAATACCTACCGTATTTCCCCAAAAATAAGACCCTGTCTTATAATTTTTTTGGCCACTGAAAAAGACATCAGGTCTTATTTTCGGGGGAAGTCATCCACTGGCTAACCTCACTTGCATGCATCTTCCCCAGCCTCCTTTTTGCTGTCAGAGGCCTTCCAGAATTTCTTCTGCAGCCAGCAAGGTTTTCCTGAAGGCCTCTGCAGCTGATAACCCAATCTCTGGATCAATCCAGAGCTTTGTTATCAGCTCCAAATGCATTCAGGAAAGCCTTGCTAGCCTTGCTGGCTGCAGAAGAAATGGGTCTGCAAGGCAGGTGTCAGGGTGTGCTAAGCCTGGCTGCAACTGTCCAAAGATAAGTAGTAGGGCAGCTCCACCCTCCCATCCCTACCCAAGCTTAATTTTTACCCGTGCACTCTGGAGTGGGCGGGATCTTAATTAGGTCTTATTTTTGGGGATAGGGCTTATATTGGACACACATGTAAAAATCAAGCTAGGGCTTACTTTCAGGATAGGTCTGTGTATCAGTGACATTTTCTTCTCAATCTATATCCCATTTCTTAGGTGGTAGTTTTTTTTTTTTCTATTTTTCATTCAGTTTGGGGAAAAAACATGTTAAAAGACTCTTCTTCTCTTACTTTAAAAGTGCTGAATGGGCTTTCGAAGTACATTAATTTGTGTGAGACAATTAATAATGGGAGAGAAGATGCGTGTGAGTGCATTGTGAGGTTGGCATGTCCATCCATTAGAGCCTCTGTCGGGAAGACTCTGCTGAATAAGGAATCTAGTTCACTATACAAAAATATATTTTCACTTGAAACTAATTTCAATCCAGTACAGATCAGGAAGGGGTTCAATGGACACCGTAACTTTGCCAAGCGGTGGATTAATTCATCTCACTATTCATTCTTCTTATTGAGCTGTGTGATGGAGGATTTTAATTACGTGTGCCTATTTGTGTTTCTCACTGAAGAAAGCAATTATATTGGGAAGAGTTAATGATACAAGGAAACCAGGCCATAGAAGAATGTGGTAGCTGGACACCATCAAAACTGACTCCACCAAGAACAAGAAAAACCAGTGCAAGATTGGAAGATGTGGAGATGTGATCTGGCCCATAGAATTACCAAGGATGATTCACTCTTCATTCATCCATGACGACGACGACTACTACTACTACTACTACTACTACTACTACTACTACTACTACTTGATGAGAAGCGAAACTTTCTCCTCCTCCTCCTCCTCCTCCTCCTCCTCCCCCCATCCTCCTTCTCATTCTTCTTCTTCTGTGTTTCACACTTTACTAAGGAAAGGAATTACCAAAACTTCCCTCTATTCTAAATGTAAGAAAACACATATTGTGATGCATTCTAATGTGATGTCCTAATGCAAATCCCCAAAACAGGAGAAACATCACAGAATTGCAAGGTAGGTTTTGCAGGAAGACTGAGCTTACCTTCATAGGTTCCACTTTCTAGAAGAGCACCACTTTTCTCTAGTTCCATAAAATCTTCAACAGTGATGAAAATATAATCCACACCAGGGACTTCCCCCTCCTTATGAGGCCTTGTAGTGCCTATTTTGAAAAAGAAAGAAAGAGAAATCGCATGGGTTATGTGCAACAAAGAGCAGAAGATCACAAAAACTGAAAGACCAAGTCCACATGTGCAGGTCCAATTAAATTGATTTATTGCTAAACACTGAAGCAGAGGTGGTCTTCAGCAGGTTCTAACCAGTTCTGGAGAACCGGTAAGGGAAATTTTGAGTAGTTTGGAGAACCGGCAAATACCACCTCTAACTAGCCCTGCCCCCATCTCTTCTCTGCCTCCTGAGTCCCAGTTGATTGGTTGGTTTTTCTTTTGTTGCTCTGCATAGGAGAACAGAGCTGGAAAGCAAGTTAGTGGGGTGGAGAGGGAATGGGGATTTTGCAGTAACCTTCCCCTGCCATGCCTAAGCCATGCCCACCAAGCCATGCCACACCCACCAAGTCATGCCACACCCACCAAGCCACACCCACAGAACCAGTAGTAAAAATGTTTGAACCCCATCACTGCACTGGAGGTCCAATTAAACTGATTTATTGCTAACAGTCTTCTCAACCAATGATTAGCATCTGCTTAGAGTTAGATAAGGGTCAGTGGCACTCAAGTGGGAACTGGAATAAGTTCACTTGTGGCTACGTAGGGATTCTAGGCTGATGCCTCTTTTTACTCCACCCCAGATTTGCTTCCTCCACATCAGACTCCCAAATGATATGCACAAAGTTCAGTTCATTCCACAATGTCATCACAACTGGGTTCCCAACTAACACAATTCCTCAGTGCAGCTTTCTAACCAAGGAGCTCTAACTATGGGTGTGTGTTTTATTTCTTTCTCCTGTGTTGAAAAAGTGCTAGAAGGAAGCCACTCATTAGGAAGAAATTAAAAAAAATTCTTAACAGCAGCAAACAAGAAATAAATTTTTCGGTACTTCTGGAAAAATCCTGTGTTCAGTGAGATTTTTCACTGTTCTTCACTGATAAATTATTATTTTTTGTATTCCTTATTGCAAAACTAATGACCAGTCAGAGATATGATCAAAAGAAAAGCTGAGTGAATCATCAACAAGAGGACCAAATTAAAAACAAAACAAAACAAGAGGCACCAAATAAATCAGGAAAGATTCTATTCAGGACTTTAAAGAAGATTTGGTTACTTGGCACTCAAACTAGATTTTTGCTGAGGGTCAAGGAACAAAATGGCAAAAGAGATGATTACTTTTATTTGTCACTGCTTGTTGGAGCTTAACCTGATTCACTTCTAAGTAATGACGCTCTTTCTCCCTCCAAAGCTTTTTGTAGCCATTTTTTTAATGAGCAAAAAAGAAAAAAAAATTCTGAGAAGGGGAATCATTACAGAATAAGGCATTTCTTTAGGCAGAAATTCATTCCCCTTCATGGCTGGAGTGCAATCTTTATCAAAGCAGAGTTTAGAGTGCTTAGAATGCAGGATTCTCACGGTGTCTCTTTGGGGGGAAAATGAAGAAGTAAAGGATGGAGCTTGCAAAAATTCTAGCAACTATTTCTTTTCTAGCAATCAATATACATGAAGGAGAGATTTTTTTTCCAACTGTCCCTCTCTAAACAGATAAAATGTTGAACAGAACAGAATAGAATTCTTTATTGGGTAAGTGTGGTTGGACACACAAGGAATTTGTCTTGGTGCAAATGCTCTCAGTGTACATAAAAGAAAAGATACATTTGTCAAGAATCATAAGGTACAACACTTAGTCATAAGGTACAGTAAGCAATCAAATCATACTAGGAAACAGTCAATATAAATCATAAGGATACAAGCGACAAGGTTACAGTCATACAGTCACAAGTGGGAGGGGATGGGTGATAAGGAGTGATGGCAAGATTAACAGTAATAGTAGTGCAGACTTTGTAATAGTTGAACAGGGCTGAGGGAATTATTTGTTTAGCAGAGTGATGGCGTTCGGTAAAAAATTGTCCTTGTGTCTAGTTGTTCTGGTGTGCAGTGCTCTATAGCGTTGTTTTGAGGGAAGGAGTTGAAACAGTTTATGTCCAGGGTGTGAGGGGTCTGTAGATATTTTCACAGCTCTCTTTTTGACTCGTGCAGGATACAGGTCCTCCATGAAAGGGAGGTTGGTAGCCATTGTTTTTTCTGCAATCCTAATTACTCTCTGAAGTCTGTGTCTGTCCTATTGGGTTGCAGAGCCAAACCAGACAGTTATAGAGGTGCAGATGACAGACTCAATCATTCCTCTGTAGAAACTGGATCATCAGCTCCTTGGGCAGTTTGAGCTTTCTGAGTTGGAGCAGGAAGAACATTCTTTGTTGTGCTTTTTTGTTGAATCTTTTGACTGGTACTTGCTTCCAAGTGGTCATTTAAACAACGGACTTCATAAATTTATTCAGGCTGAGAATTAGTCTTTTTTTATTTTTTTAAAATTAAACATAATATTTAAAAAACATTGAATGTGGTGGAGTCGTTTTGACATAACCTTTGTCATCATTTTAGTGAAATATAATAGAATATAGATCTTATATACATTTGCACATATACTTGTACACATATATACATTTATTCATCCTTACTTACATCTTCCAACATTCTTGGTATTATTTAAATCTCATGATCACAGATATCCTCTTAACAACTCTTTTCAATCTTAAACCCTTCCTTTCTGTCTCCAACAGTAAAATCTATTCCAAATTATATAATATTCCGATTCGTCCTTATTTTTCATCTCTAGTGTTAGCCTATCCATTTCAGCGCAAGTCAAATTTTTATTTATTACTTCATCTTCACTAGGAATTTCTTTCTCTTACCATTTCTGGGCAAATACCATTCTTGCTGCAGTGATGACGTGTATTATTAAATATAACTCTTCCTACTTATATTTTTTCGTATAAATCCTAATAAGAAACATTCTGGTCTATTTTAAATCCTATCATTTCTTCCAACCATTTCATAATCCTATGCCAAAACTCTTGTGCTTTTTTACAGCTACATCATGCATGATAGTATGTGCCTCATTGAGAATGAGTGTTTTCATTGTCTGTCTGCCTCTGACCAAAGCCAAGGGCCCATCTGTCACACCATATCCTCATGCAAAGGTCCAGTTAAACTGTTTCATTGCCAAAAGTCTATGTGCAGGAATCTTCTCAACAATTAGCACCTGCTAGGAGTTAGATAACAGTCCATGGAATTCAAGGGAGTGTGGACTTAAGTTTGCTTGTGGCTACCTACAGATTCTAGGCTAATACCTCTTTTAACTCTACCTTCAGGTTCTGCCACAACTTCTCCTAAATCATTTTGACCAACCATCTATTGTCCCTTTTCATTCATTGCCAGCTGTGCTGGGACAAGAATAGAAAGCACAGAGCTGTTGTTTTAAAGCATGGATAGAAATGAAAGCAACCAGGTTGTGTTATATTTGGATATTTGGACAAAGGCCAGAGGTGGTATTCAGCAGAACTGGTGGCAGAAATTTTGAGTAGTTTGGAGAACCAGCAAATCCCACCTTTGAATGGCTCCACCCTCATCTATTCTCTGCCTCCCAAGTCCCAGCTGATTAGCTGGGTCTTCTTTTGTTGCCCTGCACAGGAGAACGGAGCTGGAAAGCAGGTTAGTGGGGTGGGGAGGGAATGGGATTTTGCAGTAACCTTCCCCCAGGAGTGAGGAGGGAATTGAGATTTTGCAGTATCCTTCCCTGCTATGCCCACCTAGCCACACTTACAAACCATGCCATGCCCACCAAGCCACACCCACAGAACTGGTAGTAAATGTTTTTGAATCCCACACTGACACAGACCTTCCTCCAAGACTTGTGAATAAGCCTACTAGTTGAAGTAGTAGTTTTATAGAATGAAGAAAACAAAACAAAAAATAAAGAAAAAAAATTATCTGCCCCAAAGGTCCTTTTTCAAGAGGCAACTGGACTTTCTGGTTTTTCTTTGAAGACATTTTGCTTCTCATCCAAGAAGCTTTTTCGGCTCTGATGGTGGGGAAACCAGTCAGAGCTGAAGAAGCTTCTTGGATGAGAAGCAAAATGTCTTCAAAGAAAAACCAGAAAGTCGAGTTGCCTCTTTAAAAAAGCACCTTTAGGCCAGCTATGACTTGGATGACTGAGAATCTCATAAAAATATAATTTTATCTTTATCTTTATCTTTATCTTTATCTTTATCTCTATCTATCTATCTATCTATCTATCTATCTATCTATCTATCTATCTATCTATCTATCTATCTATCATCTATCTATCTATCTATCTATCTACCTACCTACCTACCTACCTACCTACCTACCAACCTACCTACCTATGTGAAAACAAATATATTTTGAAACAAACACAATCATACATATGTAGATATGGTCTTGCAATCCTGAGGAAAACTTGGAAAAATAAGACAACAATCCATCAAGGATGATCTGAAAGTCTAGGTGAGCTCAGAATAAGTGCTAAATTGGTTCATTGTGTGCAGAAATGCTGAATAGGGTGTTTCCAATGAGATTTTTGGTGCCATATGGAGTTTCGGTTTGGTCTCCATGATGACCAAGACTAACCAAATGTCTTATGCAAATTTACATAATTAATACGAGCAGACACATTCTGCATTTGTTTGCTCAGAATTTGGGTTTCCTGGATAAGCATTCTTTTTTGGCCTTAAGAGTGGAATTGATGCTTGAGAATAAAATGGAAAATGTTGAGTCAAAACCACGCTTAAGGCTAGAATCAATGATGCATTTCTCCTGATGTTGTCGGATTGTGATTTTTTTGGCATCTTCACATTTATTTTTGATTGCCAGAGCTAGTTATGGCTGTGATTCAGAAATATGTGGAGCATTGTCACCCATGTGAGGTAAGGAAACAGAGGTTTAAAATAAGCCACATCATTGCAAATTCCAGCCTGAATTGGTTGCTTCCTTCCAGAAAGTGCATAATATACTGTACAGTATGTGCAGGTGTGAGCTTCAAAGAATTTAGCAACCAGTTCTCTAGTCCGTTACTGGGTGGGCGTGGCTATGTTGGGCATGGCCTAGTCAGCCTCCTGCACCATGTTGGGGCCT